GTAAAGTTTCTTTGTCGGCCGATACTGTTAAAAGACGTATCCAAGATATGTCAAGTGATATTTTGGGAACACTAATTAAAAAAATCATTTCGGCTGGAATTTTTGCGCTTCAAATCGACGAATCAACCGATATTAAAAATAAAGCACAACTGATGGCTATTGTACGTTTCGTTGACGAGGACTCTATTAAAGAACATTATTTATTTTGTAAGGAGGTTCCAGAGAGAACTACCGGTGAACAAATTTTCCAAGTAACTGATAATTTTTTTAAAATACATAATATTCAGTGGACCAATTGCGTTGCTATTTGTACAGATGGTGCTGCTGCAATGATGGGCAGTAAGAAAGGTTTTGTATCTTGTGTAAAACAAAAAAATCCGTCAATACAAATTACACATTGCTGCATACATCGAGAAGCATTGATGGTCAAAAATTTGCCCGAACAGCTTTCGATCACAATGAATGAATGTATTAAGATCATAAACATAATTAAATCGAGAGCCTTAAATTCGCGAATCTTTGGAATACTCTGTGAAGAAATGGGAAGCGAACATGAATCCTTACTGTTTTATACAGAAGTTCGTTGGTTATCCCGGGGAAAAGTTTTAGCTCGACTGTTTGAACTTCGCTACGAAGTGCGTGAGTTTCTTTCAAGTCAAGATATGTACGATCTATGCCAGCACCTTCATGATGAATACTGGATAGCCAAACTTGCATACATGGCGGATATATTCGAACATCTGAATGAACTTAATAAAAAAATGCAAGGACGGAATGAAAATATATTGACGTGCTCCGATAAATTACAAGGGTTCAAAAAGAAACTTGAACTTTGGCAGGAACAGTTGCAAAAAGGATGTCTAGAAATGTATCACAGGACCAACCACAGTACGATCGAAAACAAGCAGTTGATTGTGGATTTGGCCCAACAACATTTAAGTATGCTTCAACAAAAATTTGAATACTATTTCCATTCTATCAACACGGAACAATACAATTGGATTCGAAATCCTTTCGCAACCAATGCAATAAGTTCCACGGAAGCACTGCCATTGCAAACTCGAGAGGAGTTCACAGAATTAAGTAATGATATGACCCTAAAACTTAAATTCGACGAAGTTCCGTTAGATGTTTTCTGGATTTCCATCAAGACAGAATATCCACGCATCACCGACAAGGCCATCTTCACACTACTTCCGTTTTCCACAACATATTTATGTGAGCAAAGTTTTTCAACGCTTGTATTAATTAAAAATGATAAACGGTCATGCTTAAAAGATCTTGACCAAGAAATGAGAGTTGCGCTGTCTAAAATTGAGCCGAATATAAAACTTTTGTGTTCAACGAAGCAAGCGCAGGTATCACATTAATCAGTCATCATCATGTCAAAATATTTATTACTATTGACGTGTCAACAGAAGTAAATTTAGTATACCTACCTGTCCTACCTAGTATTTAGTATAGTTCTCATGTATGTACCTGTTTGTATTTTTCATTCTATCTGAATAATAAAAAAAAATAAAAAAAAAATATGTATTATGTCCTGAGTGAAAATTTTGATGCCCCAAATCTGAAAGGGGCTTCTTCACATTTTAAAACAATAAAAAAAACTAAGGTAGTTTGGACATCCATAAATAATTAGTATACATGGAGTGAACTGACCCCCGACCTAGCTACGCCACTGCTATAAATATATTTTAGATTTTGGTGTGCCACGAAATTCTAGGGAGCAGTTTGGTGTGCCTCAGATGAGGAAAGGTTGCGGAGCACTGATTTAAAGCACTAAATAACAGGTTGGATTTGAGTCTACTGGTAAACTTGATAGAAAGTTACAATTGCCTAGGCACTAATGTTTGATAACCATCTTTGTTGACAATTCTGCGTTTCGCGCATTGAACGCTAATTACTTTTAAGACGTCGCTTTCCTTTTTTTAATAAAAATTCTTTGCTGAAAAAAAATCAAACTCGGATAACTCCTTTGAATAGTTTTCTAAAATTATGTTTTATGTGTTTAACATATAAAAGCGCCTTTCGGCGACATTTTAAATCTGTAGGCTGGCTCATGAGCTGGAAAGTTCCTTTTGGGCATTCCAAACAAAATGGCTACCAGTGGGTTTTGACATATGGCAACCCTGTAAGCCTAGTGATTTGACAGGGTCAATGAAATAGATAGTTATATAGATTGATCATCCATGTTTTTCGAAATAAACGTAAGTTTTATGCCTTGAAGTAAACATGTAGATAATTATTTTTTTACTATATTCAAAGGCTGAAAATTGGTTTTAAAACACATTTTTGCTAAACTGATCCTGATTAATGAGCACTTTGGAGGCAATATGGCCGCTCGCAAAAGGACCCGCTTTTAGCAATCTATACAACTACATATGTATCATTGACCCTGTCAATAACAGCATGCCACAGGGTTGCCACATCTAAACGTCAGTTCCCACTTGTCAGCATTTTGACAGGTCGTTGGAATGCCTAATTAACTTAGGAGAATGCTCAATGGGCCTAGTGGAGCCCACCCTCCACACGTTACAGATACAAATGTTCAACGTACATGAAAAAACTGGCCAAGTGCGAGTCGAACTCGCGCATAAAGGGTTCCAGACCATCGTAGAAGATTTAACACTATGTGGGTACTTTTTAAATACTTTATTCAGATCGAGCAAATTTTAATTTATTTTTATTTGTTATTATAGCGGCAACAAAAATACACATTCTGTGAAAGTTTCAACTGCCTACCTATTACGGATCATTAGATACAACCCGCTGACAGACAGACGGGCAGCGGAGACTTATAGTGAATTTTATTTGTTGCACTAGGACTAGTTGTAAGTGTTCTGCACTAATCGCATTTGATTTGTTTAGTGTAGCTTCAAATATTTGAGTGTAGATAAAGTGTAACTGTTTTATTTGCAAATAAACTTACAGTGAATATACACCCATACACTTCATTGGTAGTGTAGCTGTCAAATGTGTGATAATTTGCAGTATATAAAATACAAAAAATAATATTAGTGGATCTGAATGAATCTGCGGTGGATGGTGTACTATGATGGGTGATTTTAATAGAGACTATATGTGAGATTTTGTCTTCATCTTCTTTATCCGAAGGAAGTATTAACGGAAGTTCTTTTATTAGAAAGAAGTAAATTAAACAAAATAATATACTTCACTGAACATATAATTGATCAATATGACGATGAAGAGGTAAGTTTAATCTAGAAATAAAATTGTACCAAATTGTAAAACCGCCTGAATTTGAGACATTTTTTAAAAAAAGAATGGTATCTACGAAAAAACGAACACTTATTTACTTAAAATTTACAGGTGGGCAAGCCTCACTGTAAGATCACGTTCAATTTAAACGTGTTGCACTTATACCAAACCATCACGAACATACTTTTGACAAGTATGACAGTTCGAATATAGTGTCCAGTGTGACACTAGTGCTATAAATAAAATCAATCAGTAATTAGGCATTCCAACGACCTGTCAATCTGCTGACTAGTGGGAACTGACATTTAGATATGGCAACCTTGTGAGCCTGTTGTCATTGACAGTGTCAATTTGTCATTGACAGTGTCAATGATACATATATAGTTATATAGATTGCTCAAAGCGCGTCGTTTGCGAGCGGCCATATTGCCTCGCAATAGCTCATTAATCAGAATCAGAATGTTACTGTCAATCAGCGGCCCGGTACCGCCGCTTTCTTAGCCCATTTCTTAATGCACTTTCAGTATAAAAATAAAGAGTACCTATGGAATCTTACTTAAACAAATATTATTGGTATAATATTTATGTTAAACATTTTTCAAGCTCTCACACGTCTAGCTAGACAGTTGGCCTGTCTATACGAAACTTTAATTTTCAATTAAAGGAGTCTATTAAAATCTTCAGTCACATTTTAAACAGTTTCTTCATACCTATTTTAATAATTTTATAATATTCAGTTTTCACATCGCCTACTTTAATGACTGTGTTTAAATGTTTACATTTCTAGAACTTTTTTCCTGTACAAATAAACGTACTAAATCATAAAGAATATGGTTTCCACGAACTGAAGATTATTTACAGAAATATAAATTCTCTAATTACTATTATAGTGTATATTTATTTAAAATGTATTTATTCATTCAAGTTCTACTACCATTATGACCAGGCACAGAGTTTATTAATTTCACTGTATAAATAAAACGTACTAGATCGCATTACGTTTTGCATTGAGAAGTTGGTTAACCTGTCATGAAAAAATATGAATTTAGAATGCGTCATTTCAAATCGGATTTTCCGCGAATGTTTAGTTGGGATTTTCTTTTTAAACGTTTCTTGGTAATTTCAATTTACGCGATATTAAGTTTTAGATTATTCTGTGTACTTAGAAAAGGAACATTGAAAGATTATTTCTGCTATAAAAATCGTTTAAAAATGAAAATTATTTTAATGTTACGTTCAACAGGTTTGTAAATTATTTTTATTAGTAAATAAGCTAGATTACTTCCAGTAGATTCTATAAAATTAAAATACCTATACTGTTGATTAGTATTTATGATAATAATAGGAATAGTTTTTCAATAATATAAATTTCCTTTGGCATTTTATTGTAATAATATGACTCCAGGTAACTTGTTAACTTTTAACATTTTTGAAGTAACATAGCCAACTCTTTTGTTTATATTGTTTGCGGTAAGTTAAATAATCGATCAGTTACATTGTTGTCAATTCTACTTATTATTCACCGGATATTGGATTTTTCTCAACTTGAATAAGGTATGGTTTCGCCCTATATATCTGATGACATGACTGACAGATTTGCATTTTTATTGAATAATTGTTGCTTATAATAAATGGAGCTTAGACATCGTTATAATTTAAAGAAATCAAAATGTTGTCAGGGTTGTTTAGTCTTTAAACAAATCGGTAATTTTTTTATATATTCGACATTTAAGTTGTTACGTTTTTTTAATTTACCCTTACAATTTCGTATGTTTCAGCTACTTCTACTCAACCGGAACACAAAGAACCTCTACCAACTGCAGAGGCCAAGCCCATGCAAAATGGCGTCGAATCTGTAGTAGTTCAAACGGCACCTCTTCCCGGTATTGTTCCAACATCGCAACCGAGCTGTAACACTTCAGAAGGTGTACTTTCTGTGGCGGTTACTGCTGAAGAGGTCAAAGAAAGATGTCCTCCGAAGGCGATGGTCAAGCCGCAAGTATTGACGCACGTCATTGAAGATTTCGTTATTCAGGAGTCCTCGGAGCCTTTCCCGGTTCATAGAAGTAGTCTTGGGGATCTGAAACCGACGCAGTCTTCCAATGAAAAGGATAGTGAAGAACCGCCACGTGAGTATTTTTTTAACGCTATATTTATTTTAGTACTAATATTTAAGTGGGGACCATATTTATATTTTATTTTTCTTAGTATCTGGATATTCTCAGTCTTTCAATTTAAGCGTCATCCGTCACATGTATTTTTCTCCTTCACTTAGAGGTTAATAGTGCAGTGATACAAATTTTAAAAGTAAGTTTAAGATACCGACTTCAAAAATAAAGAGTTTGATGATTTTTTATGGACCCCGTCATCAGATCTTGACCAAATTTATATGGGACCACCCCAGAGGTACCACAAAAAACTAATCATAGAATTCAGACAACGTGGCAAATAATTATGGCTGAACTTAATATTCCGACGAAGAGAGAATCTCGTCCTTTTTTTTGAAATCGTTAAATACGGGCGTGCAGCATGTGCATACAGGGTGTTCGTAAATAAAAGGAGCAAATAAATGGCGCCCTATTTTTGTTATTAAAAAAAGTGAAATGTTCGCACAAACGCCACTGGTGAAAGTAGAAATATTCGGACCGCCCCTAAAAATGTACATTTATCGCTCCAAAGTGTTTTGCAAATTTCGAGTCAATATCTATAAAATTTAAACACTGTATCTCAGAAACGAAGCTCATTTCGACCCAAGTTTATAGGGACTGTGCGTAAAATTTGCCAAAGCCTAGTATGTAATTTTAGAATTAAATGGGGTAAGCATAGCATGTAAATAATAAAGGATATTTTTTAAAATATTGAATATAGGTACTGACCCGTAACAAACAATTGTGTAAATGGTCAAAATGATATCAAATGTGAAAAATTATTAAAATCTGATTAAAAGTGATATAATAGATTACCACACCAAGAGAGTAAAAAAAGTACTTTCTTTTAGCACTCCCAAAAAAATTACATTGGTTCCACTTTAATTCATGTGTATACTAACTAGTTTATACTTTTAAAAATAGTTTCCTTTTCAACGCTCTGGAAACAAATGAACGCTTCTAATAATACTATTTATTCATTGATGTACACTTTAGGCATTTCTTTATAAGCTGAACATACTTATGTATCCAGAGCATTTCTTTATAAGGTTTGGTTAGTCTGCTTTTGGTTACATTTTACCAAACTACATCTAACGAGATATTTATTTATAAGCTTACTAGAACATACATAAAAAATCAAAACGTCCTAAAATTTCTAAAATTCAAATTCCGTTTAGAAATCCCCAAACTTAAATTAAATTTGACATATGACATTCAATAATAGGGTTGCCATGGTATGTGTAACGTCATCAGAGTAACCACAATAGTCTGATAGTTGTAGTAAGCTTTTAAAGAAATGCCTTTGTTTTCCACGAAAAAGAGTACTTTAACATCGTATTTCGCCTTTGTTTACATAAAACCATTCAAATTTAAAATAACTTATCTAGTAAGTATTAGTGCCGTTTCACAAGCGACGTAGAGTCTTTCAGATGTGAGACAGATTAACCTTCAACATCGGTCAGAGATTTGCGTTTTTACAGCGTGTTGTCAAATATAAATGATAACACTGCGTTCTTTTTTGCTATGCAAATACATTTTTGATTTTTGCATCTGTGAACGCAAGATAATTGACTGATGTTCAGTTCATTAAGACTGTGACATCTTAACGGAAAAATTTAGTACTTTGTAAATGAGTTTCCTAAGGAATATTTAAAAAATATTACTATTATTCGCGATTCAAATTAATTTTCACGCGCATGTCATTTGTCACCCATAAATAGGATATTTGTTTATTTACATTGGGTTGGTTTTGGGCGGGCTTTGGTATTCGTATTTTTTTAACTGTTTTTAGATATCGTTATAATATAGTGTTAATTTAAGTTTAGTTTCTGTGCTTTCGTCATAAATATAATGGGTCCTATGATTGAACGTTTGCGTTATCCGTAACATACATGTTAGGCTGAGTTTTAACATAAACGAGGCAAATTCGTATGATGGAAAGTTTTTCATAACACATTACTGTTATTTTCCACCTGTTATGTTCTAATTTAACATATCGCCTCAACAGCCTAGAATAACATGCCGTTAAGTGCCCAACGTCCATGTTACCACTTTATTTGTTTATTATATATTTAGAAATTCGATTGAAAATGGTGTGATTAATTAATTTACATTTAATACAAGACTTATAGAATGAAATAAAAAGATAAGTACCTATATAAAGGGTGTTTTTTTAGAGGTATAGAACTTTGCAATGAAATAAAACACATAAAAATCCTGTTAACGGCCATGGTATTGGCTTTATTAGAAAGTTGATGCTTAGTGCTTAAATAAGATCTCAGGCATATGGGCTCGAATAAAGCGCAATCTTGAAGTCCAATTGTTGACCACTCTTTCGAGCAACTGGGGCCGTATATCGGCAATAACGCGGCGAATATTGGTTTCCAAATGGTCCAATGTCGGTGGTTTATCGGCGTAGACTAGCGACTTCACGGATTCCCACAGAAAATAATGCATAGGTGTAAGATCACACGACCTTGGAGGCCAATTCACAGGTCCATTACGTGAAATTATGCGGTCATCGAAGGTTTCCCGCAATAAATTTATTGTGTCACGCGCTATGTGGCACCATCTTATTGACACCAAAGCTCTTCCACATTAATGCCATTCAACCAAGGAACAAAAAAGTCCGTAATCACCGATCTATAGCGCTCTCCATTGACTGTAACATTCTGGCCGGCATCAAAAGTATGGGCCAATGATATCACCAGCTTATAAAGCACACCAAACCGTCAGTTTTTCTGGATGTAACGGCGTCTCAATATGGGCTTCTGGATTTGCTTCACTTCAGATCCGGCAATTTTGCTTATTTACGTACCCATTCAGCCAAAAATGGCCCTCATCGCTAAACAAAATTTTTTGGTAAAAAAGAGGATCAATAACAATCTGGTTTTCTGCCCATTCGCCGAACGTACGACGCACACGATGGTCACGCGGTTTCAATTCTTACGCGAGCTGGATCTTATAAGCTCGCAAACCAAGATCTTTCCGCAAAATCTTCCATAGGGTGGATGGACACAGCTCTAATTGCTAGGCACGATGGCGAATCGATTCATTCGGGTTCTCCTCAACACTACGCTCAACATCAGCAACAACTTCTTCGGTGCGCACTGTACGACGTCTCTGAGGATGCACATTATCATGTAGAGTATGCTTGGTGCGAAAACGATTTATGGTTATTCGAATAACTTGCTCCGATGGACGATTATGTCGACCGTAAAATGGACGTAGCGCACGATAAGTTTCGCGAACTGAACTACGATTTTCGAAATAAATTTGCTCAATTTGCAAACGTTGTTCAGGCGTAAGTCTATTCATGGTGAAATGGCAAAACATATTGAGCACAAAACAGCTGTCACTTATCAAATTTACTGTCACTACACACAGTGTCGCCATCTCGAAAAACAAACCTCTAAAAAAAACACACTTTATTAGGTATAACTTTAATACTATTTTATATTAATGAATTACTAGGTCGACATCTTTATTATATAATAATTTTCTACAGGACTGTATTTAACATCTCAAAGAAGGCATATTTGAAATCACAGTAATCTTTTTGAAACTCTTGATGAGATTTTCTTCTATATTATGGACTTCCCAAAGGATGGGTGCAGTTTATGCAAGAATGAGGCCCCATTTTAATACTCTTCAAAGGCCAATGATTATATCCATTCCAGTTAAACTGTAGATCTAATACCTATATTGCTATAATCTGACTTCTTAGTATATTTGAATCTGTTTTTTATTTATATAATTTGTAAATACTAGGTTTGCATTTTTTATCGTATATATTTTTTTCACTGTGGGAATAATTTTTGTTTTTACTAATAAAATTAAGTAGCTACTCTACTATTTCACAGTTGTTTTAGCTAATCTTCTCGCTATAATAAATTAAATAAAATGAAACACAAAAAATTATAACCTAATTCTTTGTTGTTGTTTCCACATTCAGAAAACTATGAAAAATCTCATTTTTGGAAATTAATTGAAGTTAGGTACATATTGTGCGCAAGCGCAAATAAATACTTTCTTCTATTTCTAACAGCCAGCTTAAGATATTCTGTTATCGATTCCCTCAATCATACCGATATGATATCTACTGTTATTTTATATGTTATCTATTCCCAGTTAGCATAACCTAACAGATTCGTGTTAAAATTAACGTAAACGTTCAATCATAGGATCTATCTGGTGTTTAAGACTAATTGGTTGGAAATCTTCACTTATCTGTATGCTACACAAATATCTAAAAATATTTTCAGATACCTAATGTTTATTATTGATAAAATTAATTCAAAATCTAAGGGCCGATCTTTTCACCTCTGAGTAAAGTTACATGTAGGTGTACTTGATAGATTAACGAACAATAGCCCTATAGTTTAATCAGCAAGTAGTTATTTTCAATTTTACTCAGAGGTGAAAAGGTTGGCCCTAATAAGTCTCCTTATTCGTATATTCTGAAGTGAACTTGTGGCACCTTGTAACCATGTAAACAGAAATAAAACTGTCACAATGCAGTTTGATTCTAGATATAAAATGTAGCAAAATCTCAATAATGTAAATTTGTAGATATCCATATATCGCAAGAAAAAAAAAATTAAGGACTTACGCTTGGAAAATAATGGTTTTGATTTTGAAATTCAACCAATATCACTATATAAATTTCAATTTTCTGGGTAATTTTTCGCTAATTTCATTATACACTCTAGAAATAAAACAAATTTAATAATATCAGATAAGAAAATAGTTATTTATGAAACAAGTATGTAAAGTTACTCTTGTTTGACGAATGTGAATGTGCGAACACCACCAAAATGTTGCCAACTGATGAGCAGATTTAAAAAAAAAATTGATAAATGAACTAAAATCAAATAATTAAATCCTAAATTATTAAATATTGGTAGACACAATTTTCGCTAATTAAAAAAAAAAGTTCTTTAAGGTGTAAAAAACATTTGAAAAAGTACTACTCATAAATACCTTTTACAAACATCATCCAGAGGGCATATATATCACTTAGTTTAAATCGCGGATAGCTAATTAATTATACGATTTTCAAATCTAGCCGTTGCAAAGAAATGGACATTTAAAAAAGTCCTGGGCTACCATGTATATCATTTTGTTCGCAAAAGAAAAATTTGAAGTATTAAACTATATTTTGTTTTATAAGAATTAGGGGTTTCATACTAAAAAAATACTCTATAATAAATTTAAGAAAATAAATTGTTGTTTTATTAATTCTAGCAATCATGTGAAAGACAATATATTTAAAATCAAATCAAACACTTACAGGAATGATTAAAATTCAAAATTACATTTGTATTAAATAGATCTGTTACTGCAACATTCTCAAAAAGAACCATACTTGTCTCCTTAATTTTATGAACACGTCACATCACAAAATAATCAATCAAATATTTATCCATTCTGGTCTGCGATGATGACCTTCCTGGTATCGATTCTCGTTCAGCTTTAATCGTCTCCTATTTAATTTTAAAATAATACCTCATTCTTTCAGGAAAGAAACGTGCATCTTCACCATTCTGCACCAGTCTCAAGAGCGATATGGCCAAGTGTGAAGCTTGCGGTACTATCGACCTCAAAGCGAAGTTTAAGAAGAACAAAAGGTTCTGTTCCGTACATTGTTCAAAGAGGTAAGTCTATTTTTTAAGTATTCCTCCTTTGGTCGTCATCATATTTGGATTTGGAAGAAATTATACCTACATGAATTTTTTGATAACCAACATATTTCATACATATATATTTTTTTTTAATTTACACCTATATTCATTTAAGTACTGAAATAAGCTGCTAATTACTTGTTTGTCTTTTTTTATAATTCAATATTAGACAGGCAGCGACAGGCTTCTACCTGTCTTTTATGATATACAGATTCCATCACTTTCTAACATATTTTAAAAACGTGACAAATGCCATAGTAAGTCCTAGATTGACAATAGAGAGTTATTTCAAGTTCACTTAAGGTCAGTCACTATTAGTGCCGCTCTTATTTTGACATCTGAGCATGCGCAGACCACTTACATTCTAGAACTGACTTTAATAAAGATTGTGCCTGTCCTTAATTGTGGATGTTTAAGGACAGCAGTTAATGGCGACTTTATAGTTTTCGGGTGCGCTGGCCAACATTCGTATCAGTTCGAAAATTTTTAATATTAAATATCATCGTCATCTAAACCTTCTAAAAAGGTAATTTCTAATGCCTCTTCCATATTATGTACTATTATAAACAACAAAAAAGATGAACTGTAATTTAAAATGTTTAAAATGAGGTTAGAAATATGTATAAGGACAAGGACTCTATTGTCAAAATTTCAGGTTTGCAATAAGTCTTATTTTAACATGGAATTTATTTGACTCTAATTAGGTTGTCACTATTAGTGACTGACGTTATGGAAATTTGCAATATCTCTCTATTAGAGAGTTATTTCAAGTTCACTTAAGGTCAGTCACTACTAGTGCCGTTCTTATTTTGACATCTGAGCATGCGCAGATCACTTCCATTCTAGAACTGACTTTAATAAAGATTGTACCTGTCCTTAATTGTGGATGTTTAAGGACAACAGTTAGTGGCAACTTTATAGTTTTCGGGTGCTCTCGCCAACATTCGTATCAGTTCGATGTTTTTAATATTAAATATTATGTACTATTATAAACAACAAAAAAGATGAACTGTAATTTAAAATTTTTAAAATGAGGTTAGAAATATCTATAAGGACAAGGAATGTAATGTCAAAATTTCAGATTTTCAATAAGTCTTATTTTAGCATGGACTTTATTTAACTCTAATTACGTTGTTACTATTAGTGGCTGACGTTATAGAAATTTGCAATATCTCTATTAAAAATATGATACATAATATCTTCCTTTTATTTTTTGTGGTCTTCACTTTATGAGCACATACAACCAGAATAGCTCCCACGTTTTATTAGTTATAATTTAGCAAGTTTTCCTGCTTTATTTTTAATCAGATTTACGACTTACAGTTTATATGTGACTAATTCGTACTAAATTTTTAATTACGGCTCAATTTATTAATTGTACAATTGTATTACCTTGATTGTTTGACGTTTAAGAAAATAACTATTTGTGTATTAAGAGCGAATAGTGATTACTTTGCCGCTTGAGACAGAAAGTTGTGCCTACGATCACACTTTTTTAAGAAATAGATATGAACAGAAATAGATAGTCGTAAGTAGTGTATAATGTGTTGTCTATACCTACGTTAATCATGAAAAAAACAATTGATATTCAAAATCCATCTTAACTTGGATAATGTAACAAAAAACATGCAACTGCGTACAAATAACTTGAAAATAATTTATTAAAAAGAAATATTATTGTATTATAGCTAATTTAAATTAAGCGAGCAATAAAGATTTCAACTTTGTTGCTCGGTGAACGACAAAGCTGTCACTTAATGTCAGTTCGTGGAAAACGTCAACTATAGGGGCGTTTGATTAGAAACTCTATCGAGCGAGCGTCGAGGAGACCGAGAAGTGATGACGTCACAATAGAGCATTGAATCAAATCAAATAAAACAGAGTAAAAAACATAACCTCGCTTTTCTCTTATTTTTGTTTCTGGTTTGTGTGTTAAAATAGTGAGCAAAAAGAAAAGAAAATGGAAAAACTTTAAATAAAAAGGGGTAATGGCCCTGAAATGCAGCATATACCACAAATGCTCGCTTCGCTCTCATACTACATGGCTGTGATTACTGGTGATTAGATCTGGACAGAGAAAATGTATTTTACAAACACACATTTTGTGTTTTTTATGACAAATAATTTTAGCTATAAGACAAAAGCGGCTAAGTAATTTGTTGACTTCTTGTCTGGTCTTTAATTTTGAGATTCAAATTTATTTGTAAGTTAATTAAAAAGAGATAGGTAGAGACAGAGACAAATTTCTCTCTCTTCTCGATCCTTCTGCTCTGAGAACATCGAGCTCGCTCTATGTTCTCGCTCCAAAGCAAAACAAACACTTTAGGGATCTCTCGGAGTGTCAATTCAAACACGATTGCAGCGCTCGGAGTTCTCCGATGATCAAATCAAACGCACCATTTGTGGTTGGATTTCGAACCGCAAAAGCCTTCTTTGAATAGTGAAAGTAGATAGTAGAAAAAGTCCAATTTACTGTTGTACTCGCGAAATCTATCTAGCCCCTTCAAGGTCACCGTTCAAATCCAGTGTTAAACTATAGATTTTGCATGGCTCTCGTATTGGAGAGAATTTTGCATTTTTTCTTGTAAAAGAAAATTTATTATTAAATTTATTTTATTTACATAAACAAACCAATTATTTAAACAAATAAGTTAAAATGTGAAACATATTTTTAATTATTTCTTGGGGGGTAGGTGGCTCAGTGGTAGAGTCTCTGCCTGCGGATCCAAGGGTCCCGGGTTCGAATCCCACCGTTGGCCGGGATTTTTTTATATAATTTAATTATTTAAAATTAATTCTGATGCCTTGGTAGGATTCCCCACTCGGCCATTCACTGTTGGGTTCTAATATACAGTGCTGTTCCTGAAGTGGCGCTGGGAAACAGTAACAAAGCCTACACATAACACACATTATTGAGAATTTAAACACAAACTGAGACTGGCATATTAGGTTTATACACCTAGGCCATAAATTGAAAAAAAAAATCTACTTGAGTTGCACATAAGATTTTTTCTATGGCCGACTAAAGAAAATCTGCATAACTTGCACATCACGTGAATGATGGGCAAAAAGAGTGAAAATTACTAAAGTTATAAAAACATCTGGTTGCAATAGTCAAAACCTTTCATTGTCATAATGCATCTTTCCATTTATACATATTTCTAGAAAGCAAGATGTATGATTTGTATATCCGAATAACCAAAGAATCTTGTGTATTAACCTATAATATTAATTTTACACTTTTTTATTTTCAGTGGAAAGTACAAAGGTGATGACAAAAAGAAGTGGGATAAAGATGGAATGGAAATTGATTCTGAATCTGGCGCTTCGGGAGCTGAAAGCAGCCTCAGTCCCAATGTCATTGAAGATGAGATTCCTAAAGTGGATCCTATCAAATGGAGTGTAAGTACCTACAATTTTCATCAAATAACTTTACACTATTCTGGGACCTATTTCATAAAATTACCTTGCAACTTTTCGCTTTGTACTTTACATATTTTAGTAAATTTATGTTTCAAAAAAGAAAAATTTGAAAAGCAATTTACAAAGTGAAAATGGAAAATTAATAATCTGCAAAGATAACGAAATTATTTTATAAAACTCAAGTATTTTGCACTCGTAAATTTGTAAAGTGTAAAGTTGCCAAGTAGTTTTATGAAATAGGCCCCTGGTCAAACGTTTACTTATAAAATCCAATTAATTTATTTACATTTTTTATTTTTAAGGTTCAAGAAGTGTTCGACTTCATCAAAAACCTCCCTGGTTGCTCCGACTATGCGGAGGACTTCTTGAGAGAAGAAATTGACGGTCAAGCATTGATGCTCCTCAAAGAGGACCATCTCATGACTGCCATGGCCATGAAACTTGGTCCTGCACTCAAGCTCGTCGCCAAAATCGACGATATGAGAATCGACAAGGAGCCTCCCAAACAATCCTAATTTTATTTCGCTAGGATTAAGTTAAAGTTGTTATATTTTGTGTCGGGTTAGTACTCTTTTGGCATTTCGGGACAAATCGAGTAGAAAATCGGTTTTAAAACAAAAAACGATCGTTTAGCTGTCGGTTTGTGCTTTTAGACTCATTAACACGTGATATAATTAATGATGAACTAAATTTTTAAGAGTTTTTTTTGATTTGACTATAGAGACAGTTGAAATATAAAAATACGGTAGTTCGACCAACTTGGGCCATCGTCAGGCCCGAAAGAAAAATAAATAATTTTAAGAAATGACTAACAATTCGAAATTGACCCAAAAAACAACCAGAGTGCTTAACGTTGGATCCGATCCATCTATTGACGCGTTTTCGATACTTAAACAGTGTTAAACTTGTCGATATTGGGGATTGATAGTGCTTTTGACGTTTTTTGTTTCACCTCTTTCACATCTATAAAATGTTTGCCTTTGAAGACTTTTTTTACAATGGGTGAAAAATAAAAAGTTGCGCGGGGTAGATCGTAAATTGCTCAAAATTTGATGATACCCTCCAATATACGGGGTGGACTCTACAAGATCATAAAATGTTCAAAGATGGTTTGCGCATTAATAGAAAATGGAAGTCAGTATTTTTTTAGATTCACGGCATCTTTGTTTTCTCATCATTTTATCTCCTGATTTTAACTATTTATCATAGTGTTAGATCTTTTTCATACTTGCTATGAGCTGTGACCATTAGAGAAATATATTCAACATAGCCGATTATTTCCCCTACCTACGGAGTGAAGATCCTGTCAAAAACGAGGTTTTGTAGCTTAGGTCCTATTATAGAACATTGCAATAAATACTGCACCGCCTATTTCTAATTTTTCTTTAATGATTGAAAGACAAGGGGACTGCCCTCCTGAAAACAATTTGCGTATTTCGTAGGGTTTTGATTATTAACTTTTGACAAATTAAAAATACATAGTTTACCTTTCAGTTTAGACTTTAAATAGATTGGATAAAAATTCCTGAAATGCCATAATAGTTCTTATACCGTTTTAGATCGTTATTTTTATTTTTGTACATACATTATTTATCTTTCAATTACCCTAAAGACTGCTGATGAGAATCTAAATATTAAGATTAGGAACAGTGGTGATGTTCTTTGTTCATTAAAATTTTTCACATCTCCAGATTTAAACTACATTTTACTATGTATTTATAGCTAGGTTATGTTTTAATCTAATCTGCAAAAAAAAAACTTGTGAGCCCATCAAGCGATTAAAAGAAACAGTATGATCCAAAAATTAACTTTTCGGTCGAACGTTTCATATTTTGAACATAACAAAAAACTGGTATTTGTAAGCTGCATTGTGATATTTAACCATTATTGTATATCGTCGAAAAAGATAAGTGTACACAACAATTTACAAATGAACAGTAATTTTGGTCCTGTGATCTCACTTTTGCATACCGTTTCTTTTAACTATAGTTCAAAAATTTGGTTTGCCTTTTTCCCTAAATTACATTCAAACTAGAGGGAGCTTTTTGTGGTATATGCGGAACGGCAATAATTAAACTTGTCGAGGGCAGCCAATAACTGAATTCTGTTAAAGCATCTTGTAAATATTTGTACATTCGGCATTTTATATTAAAATGGTTACGTATTTAGTTTAATTTGTACAGAGAAAAATATATAAGTTTATATTAGCAAATATCTTTGATGTGATCAAAGTATTCAGCATAATTTCAATTTGAGAATGACACAGTGCTAAATTACATGTCATTTTTCTCTCATTGGAACACGTATTTATTAATTTGTGCAATGTTCTATTTTCCAAAATCGTGTAAGTTTCTAATATAGATTAAGTTGATATTTGTTACTATACTGCCACTAATGATAATAAATTTGTAATTTGTAAATTGAGATTTTCATTCATAAACCTTTAAAATATTTATTAAATCAGTTTATTTTTTTAATTTGTAAAATTATGTATCTATACTACGTATAATAATAGAAAGTGGGAATATCTCAGGAATGTCTAGTTGCCATATATCGAAAGAAGGATTTCTTACATTATAAAATTTATGCAATAAAACTGATGTGTCCAACACATGACTTTCCTGTCTAGTTATTAAAGGTATTTTCCGGGTAAAGTTGCAGGAAAGGTATGTACTGATGCGCATCCTGGCCGCGCATTTAAAATAATCTGGTTTTATGACAGTATAACTTTCCAAATTGCTACTTTTATATTATTAATAAATAATATCTAAGTAAAATAAATAAATATAAACAAAAATACCTTTGGCTGAAAGTATTCTATTCCCCGCCATAATTCCTTCCAGTAGAATCGAGGGTTTTCTGCCTTTCAGTAGATTGGACGTGCTTTATGATAAAAAAGATTAAAATGAATTATTGAATTTGAATTAAAAAATGAATAAAAACTACAAAAATAGATAAACTTGTTTTATTAAAAAGTTGAAATGATCGAATATAAACTAAAAAAATAGATATAAACTTGTTTTAATAAAACGAAGAAATTATTAAAATAAATGAATTAAACAAAATTATATAAAATTAAAAATAAAAAAGTGAATAAATTGTTTCAAAATATTAATGAATTATACTGGATATATTTCGGTAATACAAATCAAAAATTCTACAAACAAATTGGAATCCCTGAATAATTCGGGCGATGTTCCAAACTGTCACCGAAGTTTTCGTTTTGCTTGCATCCACATATTTCCAACATTTTGTGTATGGAAATCTGTGTCATTTGGATCTATAATGTTTTCTATGTTTATAATGACTTGATGTTTATACACTCCACCGTTTATCTGGTTTATATTATTGTACGCCTTCCAACCATCTGAAATAATGATTGTTCCAGGAAGAATGAACATGATTTACATTATATATTTTTTCTACGCCCATGTCAGTAAACGTTAAAAATCGCACTGTCAACATTCCTTGTAAATGACATTTAACAATAACATGCACGTAATGAGATCTCATAACATACACCTGCTTTTTAATAAGAAAACTTAAATTTCTTAGTTTAATTAAATTGCAATCAATTTTTTATCTACGAAGACTTTATTTGCTTCATTTACATAAATTTGGTCAATAGAGGACTTCTATACAAGGGAAGTGCAACCAACTTGACAAAATAAAATTGACATTAATGACTAAAGACCGGACAATTTAATTTATTCTTATCAGCGAAGTAACGGTAAGAGCGGACCTTCGATTTGAATAATACATTCTGAATAAAACAAGTTATTTACTGAACTGGTCAACACAGTAGATAAGATATTGGATTTTTATCGCCCGGGCGTAACATTTGGGGCGGGCTTATTATTACATTTACATTGCAATAATTATTTTATTAAATTTTAGTTCAAATTTGGTTGGATATTATTATATAATTACAAATGATATTATTATTTATTTTTTTATTGTGTTGTGGGATAATGTTGTTGGCTTTTTCTGTTAATATATTATTGACTAATAAATATATCAACGAGGATACACCATCATTAGTTTTATGTTTAGAGTGTTCCAATATACACTCTTTATCCTAAAGTAGCAAATATACAATTATATACAATATATACAATACAAATTAATATCAATCTTCTTCATTTGAAAAATATGTTTGTATGACTGCATATTTTTCTAAATTGTCTTCAGTGAAATTACTTCTTTTAGAAGTCAATAAATCTTTAAACCTAGAAAACGATCGTTCTACGTCACAACTCGTTACAGGAGCAAATGAAAAATGTGGAACAAAATCACAATATTTTAAAGCAGTTTCATAATCGTTAAAATTGTTCAGGGAGATTTGTTTCAGAGTCTGTAAATTTGGATTTCTTTTAATAACACAATCTATTTTATGGTTAAATTTATCTTGTAAGGGCCACTTTACGTTTTTTAAGTGTAACAATGTCGATTCAAATTTTTCCATAGCAACCGATAATTGTAAGTTACGGGTTTCAAGGAATTTTATAGTTTCTGGGAGACACGAAAAATAAGTCGCAAGAAAATTTAACTCCGACTGCAAAGTTGTTTTTGTTATTAAACCTTTACACTGAGTGATAGAGAGAGCGTCCTCTGATAAGTTGGAAATAAATACTTTTAGTCTGTCGAAATGCTCCGAAAAAAAGAACACAGCCTGTAACCAAGTTCCCCATCGTGTAATAACTGGTTGTGGAGGTAGGGGGATATTCGGGCATATTTCTTTATATAAAGAAACTCGGGACGGTGCTTTTAACAAAATTTTTTTAAAACAGCTAATCAACGAATTAATGTCTGGAAAGCTGTCACGGATAAACTCACAAACTCGGTGTAACGCGTGAGCAAGGCAAGTTACATGCAGCATGTTTGGAAAATGTTCTTGTAATAGTTTCCCTGTTTTCAACATTACACTTGCCGCGTCTGAAATAAACAATAAAACTTTTGAAACGTCATTATCAATTACATTGTTCAATCCACGTTTCACTATTTCATAAATCATTTCAGCGTTCACAGTTTCACGAAACACACTAGAAACTAAATACTGTTGTGAAGTATTTTCAGCACTTAATAATCCTACAACAACATTAACAACACATCTACCCTTTATGTCAGTCGTTTCATCTGCACTAACCCAAATATATTTGCTGGAAATTTTCGTTTTTATTGCCGTCATTGCTTTATCGTACTGATTTTGAATATAATGTTTTCTAATTGTGGATTCATCCGGTATTTTACGTTTAGTATATTTACAAAGAAAATTTTTGAAAATTGTATTATTTAATTTTGTTAATGGAATATTTGCAGAAACAAATGCGTTGCATAAATCTTCATAAAAGATTTTGTCTGGACATCCCTCTAAAGATTGCATGTGTTTTTGTGTTTTCACATGTTGTGTCATACTTGACTTTCCATTAAAAACTAACACCTGATCACAATTGCGGCAGTATAATTTGTTGTCATTAAAACGACGAAAACAATCAAAGTCCGATAATAAATTTTCCATATTTACGTTTCCAGTTTCTATCACTTTTCCCTTTGAACTAAACAAATATACTCATTGGAAAAATCTAGTGATATTTTTACAAGACACTTTCTTCTCAAATCTCCTGTTTATCGACTCTTTGTTATCTTTTTACATTTTTTCAACCAACAGATACCTATATAGAGTGAGCAATTGAATTAATACATACATTACAGAAATTTAACAGACATTTATTTTATTGTCTCATCGTGTATAAGTACCATAATATCCACAGGAAATAAAAACATAAATGTTTTGTTACAAAAAATCGGTATGTACGGTATCGATAAAAGCCAAAATATTCATAAATATAATATAAGGATTGACTTTATTTGAATAAAAATATCACCGGCAACTAACCGACAATGGATCGAGAAAGTATAAGACAACATATGATGGGCCTATTTGACATTCATTTTAGGCCCTCTCTACAGCGTCTTAGTCCAAACGCTCGTAGAGTCCTAATATTTGGCCCCGATGCAATTTCTCCAACAATGAATCGGGACCAGCTAAGGCTAGAAATTTCCAATTTTCTGGAGGAAATAACAAATTCGGGGGAGGCAGCTGGGGTCCTCGATCCTCATTTTAGGCAGGAGAGTAGTGTACCACGCCAAAATATTGAGGAATAGATATTTTGTAATTATATAAGAGATAATAATAAAAAAAATATCATACAGAATATCGTTTACATTACTACACCTTAAACTCGCTTATGAAAAGTTTAACAAATTTCACAAATTTCACGAGTGCGTAATGGGCTTACAGCTTACAACTCGTGTAACGTACTATACTTTTTCTACGCCTACTTATTTTCTTCCATTAAATAAAGGACATATGCTTGTGTCGCTAATCCATAAATTTTCGATAGGTAATTTCGTACCTTTTTTTGGATTTTAGCGGTAACAAATTATGTGTGGCAGCTTGAGCTTTTTCTAAAATCTCTGGTAAAGTGCTCATAATTTCATCACCTTCACTACTAACAGATATATTCATAGGTAAAGTTAAGAAAATGTTCAAATACAATATTTAGTATAATGTATAATGTGTTGCCGACATTTAGGGGCATAATTTTTTTAATACAAAATATATCTCGCCCACGATCTCGCCATTGCTAAATATTTTTAAATAGAGGACTTCTATACAAGGGAAATGCAACCAACTTAACAAAATAAAAATGACACTAATGACATAAGAAATCGGGTCACATAAAGAGGCTGTTTTTTAGTTTACTTTTTCGTTTTTCTTATATATTTTTATTTACATACCATGTTGTAAGGTAAAAAACACTTTTAAGTTTAGGGTATTTTACATCTAAAGGTTGAAAAAATTTGTCAGTCTCAGCTGTCAATTGTGTTGTTGGTAGAACACAGGCGTAACCATAGATGGGCATAACGTAACTAGTATTGTATATGGTTATATAGTGCATGGAACTTGTATTTTTAGCAGCAGCATTTTTGCATTTGACATAACTATATAAAACCAAATGAAAAAAATGTTTAAGGAAACCGGGAGAAACACAAATAAACTATTAACAATAAAAAAATAAATTGCAATGCTACGCTTATGTATGTAAATGGCATAAAAGTAGATAAGAAAAACCAAAAATTGAACCAAAAAACAGCCTCTTTATGTGACCCGATTTCTTATGTCATTAATAAAGACCGGACATTTTAATCGCGTTCAAATAATTGGTTTTAATCACATAGGCGTCTCATTCTGGGTTCGCTATTTAAGACGGCAGACAGTGCGGCAGATTCTAATACTATCAGGACAAACCTCTTTTTTTTATTAAAACAAGATAAAAAAAGTGTACTGATATATACATAGACATTAAAACTAATACAAAAAAGTGAGATTTTTTTTTATCGTGTACCTATATTCTTTGTCTTTTGAATCATTTTCATTAAACAAATTTAATGTTTTCTTCTCACCAACGCCGAGGATATGTAGGATATTTTACAAAAGTTTTTAGTAACCTCAGATCCTTTAATTTGTGGCCTGAGAAATTTTCCTTAAAAAAAAATAACTTTTTTGATGAAGATGTTAAACTTTTCATAAGCGAGTTTAAGGTGTAGTAATGTAAACTTTTTCACTTCGTGCGTAATGGGTTACTTACAACTCTTGTTACGTAATATACTATTATAAAATAGTATGATCTTAAAAGGAATTCAGCAAAAGAAAGAAAAGCGTGGAAAAATAGATTTTCCCTTTTCACACATCGATGGCATCGATGTCACAACTAAAATACTATTGTTTCGAGGAATTTCAGTTTGAAATTTGTAAGTCTCTATTATCATTATTTTGTTTTTGACATAAAATCTTTATATTTTATTTAAATGCTTCGATATTTTGCTGTTAAAATTAACGATTACGATTATAAAAGCGGGTTATTGCATAGTTTGTATAAAATTTGGGTGTTTTTGCAGAAAATAACTCGAATTAAGGTAGTTTTAGACACAGTTTGTGGCTAGATTTAAAATAATTTTCGGGCATCTTTAAGGATATTTTTGTTTGTGGAGGTATTTAAGGTGGTTCACTCGTAAAACGGCTTTTCTTAAGAATTCAATAAAATTTAAATATAAGGTTTAAGAAAGTGTCGTTTACGTAACTAAAAAAAATTAGATTTTTTGACCGTCTGTGAAACGAGATATTAAGAATCAAAATGTACATAATTAACACTCTTGAAGCCTATCATGTACACCAGCAATGCATTTATTTCAAGATATCTTGAAAACGATTCTCAACATATTTTTTAAAAACTAATGTTAAATAAATCAAGAAGTTATCAAATTTTATAGATAATCGCTGAATTTTTTGACCGTCTTACTAAAAAGATATACATTTTTAAAATAAAAATATTTTTAAAGCAGTTGAGGAGTAGTTTCGTAAAATTATTACAACTTGGCAACATTGTAGCCACTTCAGGTATCAAAGTAACACTCGATCAGCTAAGAGGTTGTTATAAACTCGCGACGTGTTCTTGAAAAAATAATTCGTCCACTGTGTTTGAGAACTGGAATCAGCGGTTCTGTTTGAACCAAAACAAACCCTTAAAATTAGTATGAGGAAGTCACAAATTTCTATACCATATCGTTTAAATATTTGCAAGTTTGCCGGATGAAATTGATTAAAATTATAACTTGTCCATATGTGTTTATATACATGTGTTTTGTACAGTCTCTTACAAAAATAAAATTGATTAGCATTGAGAATCTCGAACTTCTGCTATTCACCATTACGCGATATTTTTATGTACGACTGTCGCGAGTGAACTACCTTAAAGTAAAACCTTAATATTTTGCATCCATTGAACCAAAAATGTAATTTTCTTTGTTTTTTGACTTGTGGCGGTTTTTGATTGAGCCATCGACATGTATCTAAGGATAAAAACTTACTGCTCAATGATGGAAGAAAGAGTTTGGGAATTTCTATTTGATACTTCTACCATGAAGCACTGACCTGACTCTCAATCCCACCAAAAACCCAGTGACCTTCACGCCATTGTCCCCGGTGGTACTTCCGATGGAAGTATTTTGACTCGTCGATTTCTACAATTTTTGCCGTTCCATCTTTGTTTAGTCCGCCAAAAATTGCACCAGTCATGGTGTGGTATTTTTCGGGGATGTTTGCTTCTTCAGCAATGTTTTTTTGCGGGAGATATTTGCTCCAGCAATAAATTATAATAATAATAATTTGTTGGAGACTAAGTTTGCTTCCTTCAAAAAATGAATTTTTACGTATGGATAAAATGACAGCACAAATTTTGCATGTCCATGAATAACCGTTTTCAACTTTACTCTTTTTACAGAAAGACATGGAAATCAAAAGCACAGGAAATCTAAAAATAAAAAAAATGTTTCGTGGATTTACCACTTTTTCACATAGACAAAAAATTAAATATTAGGAAAAAATGCATTGTGAATTTACCACTCTTTCATTTACCTAAAATGGGACATATCAGAAAATATACCTGACACACTTGACCAACCGTCGTATTTCTTAAAAGTCCTCTTTTTGCCAGCCACTTTACGGCATCTAAATTTTCCGCCATCCTAGAGTCACTAGCCTAATTATTTCGTCTCTAATTTGACCGAGTTAAAATGTCATCCAGATCAACAATTGAAATTGGAGCTGGAACACCTCTTCCACCCATTTTATTGTTGACAATAAAAAATAACCAACATCACAAACACAAAATAAACTCAAAGTATTGTTTTAAATACAATAAAAACCACTTAAAACTTTTTTTAAATCGCAAGAACGTGAGCACGAGGTGCAATTGGCGGTCAAAATTATATTACCTACCTAGAAAATTACAACGTGGCAACAACGCTAAAGGAGTATCGGAAGCTAAGTATCGATACCGGTATCGAAACCGGTATCGAAAGGGTATCGGAACGAAAGTATCGCTACCAATATCGGGAAGAGTACAAAACAACCAAAAAAAAAAAGGTCATAGGGTACGCCGACATATCATAACATAAAGTGATCCTACAATATATTTTTTGTTCGTATTGTAAAGTCAAAACTAGTAAAATATTGAAACGAAAGTAGTAGTATCGAAACAAAAGTTGTACCCATATGAGTAAAGTATCTAAAGCAAAGTATCGGGTACTAAAATACCCGGTATCGAAAGAAAAGTATCGATACCAGTATCATATCAGTATTATCGCAACATCCCTAGGTACATACCTAGCATGGAGGAAGGATTATTAATACCTAGCTTTCCTACAACTTTACCAAAGGTGGACCTGGTTTATGGACCTTTTTTTTAGAAATTAACGCAGAAAGGACCTGATTTTTATAAAAACGCCCCGCTATTTTCCGCAAATCTGCTAACACTAGTTATATAAAGGGCCCTTGCCAGTGTTTTTGCCCCGGGGCCCGCCATGGCTCTCGGCCGCACTGGGTATATAGGTATGTCATTTCTAGTAAGTTAATTATTTTTGCTGTGAGATTACCTATATTATTTAACAGCAACATTTTATTAAGTTATAATTGGCCCTATCGCCATATTTTGGTCCAAATAATATGCACTTATTACAAAGTAATACAACGAAAAACTTAAATTATTTGAAGAATCGGACTAACGCAATTACTTGAGTTCTCTTTTCTCCCTTCTTGACAGTCGTGACACTGTCTCGCACTTATTGGAGCCACTAACTACGGAATACCCGAAGACAGCGTTGTCACGTTTTACTAAAAAGGCAGTCGCTTCTAAAATGATGCTTTTTAACACTTTTCCTCAAATTTTTCCATTACGGTCCATTTTAGAGAAATCATGTATAGAATTAAAAATTATGGAGAAAAATATATACCTTTTATTTGAACAATTTCCTTAAAAATTCGAATTTTGCACTTTTTGTCAACTCGAGGTCAAAAAATTATGATTCCTATACTATCCTTATCTGTATACAGACAGGAAAGTACAAATAAAGAAAAACAAACAAATGAATAAAAGAAACAGAATAACAGACTAGTTAAAAGTATAACAAGTAAAAGAAAAAGGACAATTTTAAACTGTATAATTCATAATTTAGTTTTAACATAATTAATAGGTTCTTTCTTAAATTGACTAATATTGTGAACATTTCTAATATTTTGAAGCAGATGATTGAATTGATTGATCCCTTTATGAAATAAGCTTTTCATAGAACTAATTTTTTTAGTTGTTTGTATATTCGAAAAAATCCTAAAAATCAGAATGGATGACTACGTATACTTGGCAAAATTTAATTTACTCTCAGATAAACAGTTTGGTTTTAGAACAAATAAATCAACGCAAGATGCAATATTGTTAAGGTTACATCCGAAATATCAAATCTATAGATAAAAAATTACCCGCAATTGGTATTTTTGTTGATTTAGCTAAAGCGTTTGATACGGTTGACCACACTCAACTTATCCACACCCTGGAATGGTTTGGTTTTAGAGGCATCGTAAACAATCTTGTGACCAGTTACTTGAGTGGTCGTCAACAATGTGTTAGGATAAATTGAAAACAAAGTGAAATGAGAACAGTTAAATGTGGTGTACCTCCAGGGACAGTTTTAGGACCAACACTTTTTAATTTATACATAAATGATCTTTATTGTACCTCTAATATGGGAAGTTTCACTAGTTTTGCTGACGATACAGGTTATTATCTACTATGATACTTGCTGGAATACTCTGAAGCATATATAGAGTCGGATCTAAAAAATATGTTTTAATGGTTTAGTGACAGGCTGTTAACTGTGAATTATCCCAAAACTTACTATCTAGCTTTTACATCATATTCCTAGAAAGCATTTGATACATTTGTATTTGAAACAGTCAGCCACCGTTTACTTTTTGGATACCTTAGAAGAAGCAGGTATAAGGGACACATCACTCAAATTATTTGAAAATTACTTACACCTACAATAAGTTACAAGAGTAAATGGTGTCTACAGTGATCTAGGATCCATAACTTACGGTATCCCACAAGGTACGGTACTCGGTCCTATTCTATTTATAATTTTTACATTAACGGATTATTTTCTATCGAGAGTTCAAGAGAAGTTTTGAGATTCATGGACGACACTTCAATATTTTATAAAGCTAACTCATGGCTAGAACTAACGCAAAAAGTTGAAAAGGACCTCCCAAATCTAAAAAGCTGGTTTGACAGTAAGTTATTGATACTAAATGTAGATAAAACCCACTACTTGCCATTCATTCAGTAATAATATTATAACAAGACCTCCATTTAAATTAACTTTTACTGCTTCTGGGCAAATACATACTATTCTCCCTGAAAACAAGATAACATATCTAGGGGTTTACATGGATTCATATCTCAAATGGAGAGAAAACATAACTTTTATATGCCAAAAATTTAGAATGATAATATATAAATTTAAAAATATAAGAGATTAGAATCTCATCTTTGTTATGGCCTCATAGCATAGGAAAGTGCATTAGAGACTTATTTACATGACGTAGAAGTAGTACAAAAACTTTTATTAAAAATTATTTTTAAAAAACCATTTAGGTATTCCTCAAATGATTTATTTTTAGAAACTAAAATAATGGATATTCCAAAACTGTTCACTAAAATCGTTCTAATATATCAACATCTTCATAAAAATGAATTAAAAAAAATTAGTCATGTCTACTCAACCAGAGCTGTTACACAGAATTTAGCAGATATTCCTAAAGCTGAAAAGAACATATTACAAAGAAACTATACTTACCTCGGCTCTAAATTATATAATAAAGCTCCAGCTGATATAAAAAATGAAAATTCAAATAATGCTCTTAAAACTGGCTTCTGCAAATACCCTGGATAGGAATTCAAAACTGGATTCATCAAAAGGCATAGGCGCCGGAATTCAAAAATCGCTTTGGGTGCCCGGCTTCTATACGGAAAAATGGGACTACCCCCCCATCCCCCCAACCACCACACCTCACTTGAAGGCACCCCGGTTTTTTAAAAAGCTATTTTAAAGTTGATTTTATGAAAATTTTCTTTAAAAAAAAGGTATTGTCAACTGTCCAATTGCTGGATAGGCTGGAGGCTCCCACCTAAAACGGGATATCTGGCAACCCTATATGCTCGGTGCGGCCACCACTGGTATTTTGAAGGTATTTTTACATAGATTATAACCCCCGAGTTTTAAATCGCTACTGTCTTCCTAGCCATGATATTTTAACGATTTTTATTTTCTGTAAAAGCCTATATCAATTACTCGTGTAAATGCTAGAAATGCTGACCCTGGGCCTCCATGAAAAAATAGAGGTTTTGTTCAAAATGCTCTCGGACATTTTGAAGCATCTGTGGGGTGATTTGATGACATTCGTCAATTATCCGTTGTCGCAGATTTTCCAGTGATGTTGGCTGAGTGGCATAAATTTTAGTTTTTAAGTGGCCCCATAAAAAATCCAACGGACTTAGATCCGGAAACTGTGGGGGCCAATCAATACTTCCTTTTCTTCCGATCCTGGCAACGTCTGATCCAAATACTGACGAACAGTGGTGCACCGTCATGCTGGAATATTAAGTTGTTCGCTATATACTGATCGTCATTTTCAATCAACTCTAGTAATGCTGGATAAGTAGCGTTTTTTAATAACTACAGATACATTTCTATGGTAAAAGTTTTTGGTAAAAAAGGGGCTCATTATACGGTTACCAAAAATGCCAGCCCAAACATTCACTTTTCTGGATGTTATGTATGCACTTCATGAAATATTCTGGGATTTGAATCGGACCAATAACGGCAGTTGTGAAGATTTACCGTACCATTTAGGAAAACAGTGCATTGTCTGAATAACACACGTTGAAAAGAATTTGCTGATCATTTAATGCCCGTTCAGTCATAATTTCACAAAATTGTAATCGCCTATCAAAATCGTCTTCGTTAAGTTCTTTTACCAGATGTATTTTGTAGGGATGAAACTTGTGTTTTTTCAATATCTTCTTCTTAATACCAGATGTTATCGCCAACTGTCTTGTACTCAATATGGGTTCTTGAACAACATATCCTAAAATTGCCACCTCTGTAGCTTCATTTACTACATAATTTTCCATTTCACGTCATTTGTTAGCTACTGACCTCGTTTTCCAAAATGTTTGGACTAACACTAAAATGTAGTTTCGATGGACTTCGATTTTGATTGTTAAACAGTTCTAATAGCACATTCATTGTTCGCAAAAAAGTGAAATTATTTGCACCCTCTCAGCAATAGTGTAAACCATTATCACTGATATGCTACTTTTATGCCGACTCTATAACGAAATAAACAAACCTTACTACTTTACGGCAACCAAAGAATGTCATCTGATAACAATA